AAGTGACACAAGAAGGATGGAGGCGGGCTAGAAGGGGTCAGTGGGGGAAAAGAGGGACAATATACAATACTTTCAACAAAAAGACTTAATTTAAAAAAAAAAGTGAAACAAAATTTTTACCTAGACAATCCGGGACATCATAAAGTCTCTGAGAGTTCACTGAGCTAAGAATAAATGCTTTATGTAACCACCACCATGAGAAATACTACTTGAGCCAAAGCCGGTTTGGCTCAGTGGTAGAGCGTCAGTCTGAGGACTGAAGGGTCCGGGGTTCGATTCTGGTCAGGGGCATGTACGTTGGTTGCAGGCACATCCCCGGTGGGGGATGTGCAGGAGGCAGCTGGTCGATGTTTCTCTCTCATCGACGTTTCTAGCTCTCTATCTCTCTCCTTTCCTCTCTGTAAAAAATCAATAAAATATATTTAAGAAAAAAAAGAAATACTACTTGATTGCAAAAACAAAAACCATCCAACCCCCTCCCCCACACTGTACACATACCCTTATTCTCATCGACTTCTGGTGAAACAAACCTCTCACTGAGGAAAATCTCTTCACTCCCCATCTTCTCATTTTCCTTCACTACATTCTTTTTTCCTCCTTTGCTTCCTGTTCTACCCTCTAAAGCCCAAATACTGAGTGGATTAAGGGGTTCACACGTGGAAAACGGGGCTTACCAAGAGTACATTTTCTCTCACACTCTGCCCAAGTCCAGCCATGAAGGGAGCATCGAGGCACAGATCTTCTCTGCTCCCGGAGTAGGTGAGGAAGCGCCTCCAAAGGAACAGTTTCTCACTCCAGCCAATATCATGAAAATCAAGACCCCACGTCCCTGAGGTCTATCACCCAGGGACATGCTAACTAGCGCTCTCACAAACTCTCCTTATTTAGAATCCGTTTCTAAAGTGAGGTCTTTGGCCCAGCTGGCGTGGCCCAGTGGTGGAGCGGCGACCGATGAGCAAGGAGGTCATGGTTCCATTCCCTGGTTGCGGGCTTGATCCCTAGTTGGGAGTGTGCAGGAAGCAACTGATCAGTGATTCTCTCTCATCACTGATGTTTCTCTCTCTCTCGCCCTTCCTCTCTGAAATGAATAAAAGTACATGTAAACAATAATAATAAAGTTAGGTCTTTGGCAGCAGGCAGCTTCATCACTTACCAGCCTGGCAAATGAAATAATGCCCCAGGGAGCACAAGTCTACTTTTGATGAGATCCGGTTGGACTTTCTGGACACGTAAGGGCAGCTGGTGTGCGTGGTGGCGTGGCGGGCTGTGACATCTGCAGAAGGAAGACCAGACCCAGACAAGCTTCATACTCAAAGGTCAAACATTTAAAAAACACTTTTACTGAATTTATTGGGATGATACTGGTTAATAAAAAGTCAAACATTTAAAAAAAATAAGTATAGCCTTGGCTGCTGGTGACTTGGTTACTGGTTCAATTCAGTTCAGTCAGGGTTATGAGTTCAATCTCCTAGGGAGGCAACTGATCAATGTTTCTCTAATTTCTCTCTCTCTCTCTCTCTCCTCTTTCTAAAATCAGTGAAAGCATATCATCTGGTGAGGATTAATATATATATATATATATATATATATATATATATATATATATGTATAAATTTACCTTTCAATAAATGAAGATTGTTTCCATCACCACATATATTATAGATTTTAAAAAATATATATATTCTATTGATTTTTTACAGAGAGGAAGAGAGAGTTAGAAACATTGATGAGAGAGAAACAATGATCAACTGCCTCTTGCACAACCCCGACTGGGGATGTACCCTCAACCAAGATACACACCCTTGCCTGGAATCGAACCTGGGATCCTTCAGTCCGCAGGCCGATGCTCTATCCACTAAGCCAAACCGGTTAGGGCTATAAATTATTTTTTCATATCATGTGTCCTTTGTCACCAAGCTAGGCATTAATTTATTTAGACTTTAATAAAGATACTTATGGCACAAAATGCCTTGGAGTTTTCTCTAAGACCACAAGATTATGGTACATAATTTTGAAAATATCTAAGAAAGACAACAGGTGAGCAATTTCTCTCCTAGTTCCTGCATGAGAAAACTTGGGAGCCAAGAATGACGAAGAGATATTTACCAGGAAAAAAAAAGACCCTAAAAGGTTTCCCACTTCAGAATCTTGCACAGTATTTTCAGTGAAGTATTAGGTATGTTAACCTTTGATAGGCTCTGAGAAAATCCCATCATCTTTGCTACACAGACAAATCAAAGGGTACAGCACAAAAGTAGAAATATTTCAGAGGAATGATGGTAATGAGTAAAATGACTGATTTTTCTGCAAACAAAAGCAGAAAGATTTAAATTTTTTCTTCTTCCTGTTCCTGAATAAAAGTAAGGTTTCCTTCCTAAACATCAAACCTCAGAGCCTTACTTGGGTTGTTGTTTTGTTGATTACCCCCAAGCAGCATTACATTTTGCCCAATCCACCACTTCTTTCCTTCTTCCAGAAAGTCTCCGATGAGATCTTGAACCTCCTGGTTCCAAGTGTAAGCAAGGTGTCCTCCCTGGACATGGCAGTAGTTTTCTGCTCCCTTAAAGGTGCAGGGAAACCTGTGAAGCTGAAAACAGGAACGTTTACCAGGGTGCTCTGGGCTATTCAGCTCACTTCCTAGAATGATGCCTGTTCTGATGTATAACCAAAGCCAGGCTCTTCTTTTGAATAACATTTTCTCTGTGAACTGTGAGCACAAAAAGTGTGGAGGCTCAGACGCTGCCTGGCCTTTTATATTCTTGATGAGTTAGTCTTATTCATTACTATTATTTATTTTAGGAATTGGGAATAATTTATCAAGGAGAAAAAAGATGTTTTGTTTTTGTTTTGTTTTAGGGACCAGGTGGAGTTCCTATAAGCTGACAACAAACATCGATTAATAAAGCAATGGGCCATCTGTGTTTATACAACTGGATATGCCTCCAGCTTTAAAATAGATCTTTATTTGCTAAATCTAAGCTGTAAGGAACTAGAGAATAATGAATATCTAAGTCAGTGTTGTTAAAAACCGAGTAATGTATTATTTTGTTTTTTTAAAAAGAAAGCTATGAGTTTAAATTGTTGTATTGTTTCTTAAATACATTCACTCTATCCTAAATCTCTCATTTAACTATACCCCAAATCTCTTCTATAATCATAAAAACCAAAGAATAAATATTTAATGAAGGAATGAATACAGATTAAATACAAACACAACTGAAAATCAGTGAAGTTCAAATTTGCTGAACTAACTAGCCACTTGTTAAATACACATGGCTTTGGCCTACAACCACGTAGGTTCTTTTGAGTTGGTCACGCAGTAGGTATCAATTCTCTCATTGCTTTTCTTTAACTTGCTGAAAAACCTTTGTTCATACATGCCATTTGGTCTCCACCTGTAGCACATCTATCATTTATGTTCTTAGCCAGTTCTTTTTCTTGATGCCAAAATGGAAGGTAAATACAGATAAATGTGGGCCCTGAAATCACTTGGCAGGTTTCAGGGCTCAGTTGTTTATCCTATTGATACTTACAATTACTCTTTAAAACCAAAATGAACGTGGTACCAAAATTAAAAATTCTCTGAAGTGTAGACCCCAATACATCCCTGTTTAAAAAATACATTAACCACGTAAAAGATTATGTGAGCCAAAACCGGCTTGGCTCAGTGGATAGAGTATCGGCCTACCACCTGAAAGGTCCCAGGTTCGATTCGGGTCAAGGGCATGTAACTTGGTTGCAGGCAAACTCCCAGTAGGGGGCGTGCAAGAGGCAGTTGATCGATGATTCTCTCTCATTGATGTTTCTCTCTATCCCTCTCTCTTCCTCTCTGTAAAAAAATCAATTAAAAATATATAAAAGATTATGTGATATAGTTCCTACATTCAAGTCTACAGTCTAACTAGGGAAGGGAAGACATGATTGTATTTAATAAAAACATAAGTTAATAAAGAAAGTGTCGCCGGCACCGGTGATAGAGCGTCGGCCTGCGGACTGAAAGGTCCCGGGTTCGATTCCGGTCAAGGGCATGTACCTTGGTTGCGGGCACATCCCCAGTAGGGGGGGTGCAAGAGGCAGCTGGTCGATGACTCTCATCGATGTTTCTAACTCTCTATCCCTCTCTCTTCCTCTCTGTGAAAAAATCAGTAAAATATATTAAAAGAAAATAAAGAAAGTGTTACTAGAGAGGTACACTTCAAATCTATGAAGGTTCAGCCGAGGAAATTATTTCCAGCGCGTGAACACATAAGAATGGTCATATTTAGACAGACGAAATGGACGTATGGGCAGAGGAGTCAACGTAAGTAAACGCATAGAAGCGAGAAAGTGGAAGGTATTTTATAGAGAAATAATTCTCTGTGTGGGTCCGTGTGGGTGTACCTGGGAGACAGTAGTGAGAACTGAAATTACGAGACTGAGATGATTTAAATGCCAGGAAGGTTTCTGGGCAGACAAGTCCGCCAAATCCGTGCTGCAGTGAAAAGGGTTCGGTGGAATCTTCTTTGCAGTCTACACAGGTATTTTACCCAGTGACGCCATTCATTTCAACCTTTTTTCACAGTGCCTGACACATGCTTCACCTAGAGCACAAGCATGCCACTGAAATGACCAAGAAATTGGTGACTGTGTCACTAAGAACCGAAGAATCAACATATGAGTAGTTTTTTCACAGGATGCAGAACCACAGACGAACTCAGCCAGGCCGTCAACCTCAGCGCGCAGCCACCTCCTCCAAGCCCGGAGCGGACGCCGGAAGTCAGGCGGGCGAGCAGGCGGAAGAGGCGTGGCCTCTGCGACTGCGCACGCGCGCTCTGGTCACTGTCCAATCGGATCCTTAGAGCGGAGCGCGGCCTTTCCCCCCACCCCTCACAGATGCGCCGGCCCCACCCCTCTGCCCGGCAATTGGTGAATTGGCGGCTCCGGGGGCGGAGATTAGAGGGTGTCCCTCCGCCTTCTCCAATAGAAACGAGCCAGGGGCGGGGCCCAGGAGCGAAAGGACCATGGCGTGGACACAGCTGAAAGTGAGTGTAGAAAGTGGGTCTGTCGCGTGGGCGAGGGAGAGTCCGACGAGGGCAGGGGTAGCCGGGGCGAGGAGTGGGCGGGAGGCCGCTCCGAGAGCGTTGGCCCGTCCTGCACGTCTGTGTGTCTCTGCAAAGGCTCGTGCGTGTGCATTTGTGCACATGCACTTGGTCTGTGTGTGTGAACGGCACGTGTGTGTCTGCGTGGTCGCCAAACATTGGCAGCGCGCGTGGGCCAGTGACCACATGACCGCCCAGCATTGCGTGCGGCTTCCAGCGTGCAACGAGGCTGCGAGACGTGCTCCGAAACCCTCTGGACAGGCCTTTAGGGCGGGGGGCTCCACGTAAAGGTGCTGATAATTTGTTGATTGACATGAAGGGGCGTTCCTACAGTCTGGGAGACTAGAAATAAAGACAACGAGTACTTGATCTACATTAACAGCTAGGCATGATCCTTAAGGCACGTGTGACCATTGAACAAAAACCAAATCCTTATTCTGGCCAAAAGATCTCTGCCTGTTTTCCCAACTTCTCTTCGAGCCATGCTTTTACTCCTCGCTTCCAGACAAGCCTTTCCCCGTCCGTCCCCCACTCCTCGGGAGAATTCCATTCCCCTCTGCCAGGAGAGAGCCTTTGTCCTTTCTCCTCCCCCACTGCCTCCTAGTTAACTCCCGTTTAGCCTTGGAGTATTGGTGGCACTTCCTCCAGGAAGCCTTTCTCCACCTCTGAGGTCAGGTCCGATTCTTCTATTGCCCTAGAGTGTATAGGGCCCGCACCAGTGGTCGGCAAACTCATTAGTCAACAGAGCCAAATATCGACAGTACAACGACTGAAATTTCTTTTGAGATCCAGACTTTTTAAACTTAAACTTCTAACGCCACTTCTTCCAAATAGACTCGCCCAGGCTGTGGTAGTTTGTGGAAGAGTTACTACACTCAAGGGGCCAAAGAGCCGCGGTTTGCCGACCGCTTCCCTATACCTTTTTCTTCATAGCAGGTGTACAGTTACACATTTACATGATCATTGGTTTCTGTCTCCTCATGTGATTGTAAATATTTCCCAGAAGGCAAGGACTCACGGGTTAGCCCATCTATCAATGATTGAACTAATGAATGAATGACTCGGCATCTGGTAGTGATAGAGAAAAGTATTATGAACCATGGTTTGACTAGGACAGTGGTTGGCAAACTGCAGCTCTCGAGCTGCAGTTTACCGCTCTGTTGACTAATGAGTTTGCCAATCACTGAACTAGGAGAATGGTTTTTTGTTTTGTTTTTTAAATTTCTCTTTATTGTTGAAAATATTACATATGTCCCCCGTTTCCCCCCTTTGACTCCCTCCTTCTGGGAGAGTGATTCTTGACCTAATAATACCTGATGCTCCTTAAAAAAAAAAAAATTGCAACTCCCTTTATGATTCTGAGATGGAATTTTTATATAATGTAATCTTCTATGGATAATTTTTTAAAGTCATTATTATAATGTCCTAATTGGAATATAAAGGAGAAATGAAAGTAATTTAATATGCATTTCAATGTGTAAATGGTAGGGCGTGACACCTAGATAGTGAAATAGTCAAGCATTTCAGCCTCTGCTTAGAAATTCCAGTGCCACCGGTATGTTTGTCAAACACCCCCCCAAGCAAAGCACCCTGCCATTCCTGCTGGGATTTTCTGAAATAGGGAACACTTCTTGGTAACGTTCTGGGCAAACTAGCACAGGCCCCCGTTTACTGGGTCATTGTATTCCTGGAAAAGCCAGTGCACATGAAAATGCAGGGACAGTCTTTGTGTTTATTTTGGGAAGGAAGGCGGCCGGTGCTGGCAGAGAGCTGCGGGCATTGCTCCGTGCGGCGTGTTGCTGTGTCCTGTGTGTGTGTGGGTTGAAAGGCGCTGCAGCCTGGCTCTGAGGGCCAATGTGCTTTCCCCCCAGAAGCGGGCCCAGGATGCCTTGATCATCCTGGGGGGCGGAGGACTGCTCTTCGCCTCTTACCTGACGGCCACGGGGGACGAGCATTTCTATGCCGAACACTTGATGCCGACTCTGCAGGGGCTGCTGGACCCTGAGTCAGCCCACCGGCTGGCTGTGCGTGCCACCTCCCTGGGGCTCCTTCCTCGCGTCACGTTTCAAGACTCTGACATGCTGGTAGGTCCTCTTGGGACACCTTGTGCAATCCAAGGTCCACATCCCCTAACTCACATGGTGGGGGCCGAGCCTTCCGAAAAGCAGAGTCCCAGCTCCCCAGGGGAATCTGATGTAGGCTTGCCAGGCACACCCTGAGAAGCCCCAGGCCGGCCTTGGGTACCTCTGACGTTGTCTCCCTCTCCCCAGGAAGTGAGAGTCCTGGGCCATAAGTTCCGAAACCCGGTAGGCATCGCCGCAGGATTTGACAAGCACGGGGAGGCTGTGGACGGACTGTACAAGATGGGCTTTGGTTTTGTGGAGATAGGCAGCGTTACCCCAAAACCTCAGGAAGGAAACCCCAGGCCCAGAGTCTTCCGCCTCCCCGAGGACCAGGCCGTCATTAACAGGTGGGTGAGCAGCTCGGGGTGTGTGTGTGTGTGTGTGTGTGTGTGTGTGTGTGTGTGTGTGTGTGTGTGTATGTGTGTGGAAACAGGGCTGCCACCTCCCGGCAGGGACCTCGGATGTTTTCTCTGTCTGTGATGCGGGCATTCTTCTGTGGTTTCAGGAACCACATGGATCATGTACTGTGTGCGGGGCGTAGGCGCAGGTTTTAGGGTTTCGGGTTAGCACATACACACCCTGAGGCTCAGAGAACAACCTAACTTAGCTCCAGCCACCAGACCGCAGGCAGGAGAGCTTGGGCACAGGTTTAGGCTCATCTGACTGTCGAGTTGATGCTTTTCCCACATTGTCACTCCATTGCCCTGCCCAGCGCTGTCTAGTAGAAATAGAATGCAAACCCCAGAGGTAACGTAAGATATTCCAATGGCTATGATGAAATAGCGAAAAGAAATAGGTGAAATGAATCTCAGTAATATAATATATTCTATTTAGGTTTTTGTAATGTATATTGTTATTTAATTAGGTGCTTATTATAACCTAAATATCGTTTTATCATACAACCCGCATCAGAATGATTAATAAGCTGCTGACCCACTTTTCCTTGTACCAAGTCTTCCAGATCCAGTGTGGGTTTTCCTTCGCGATTTCAGGTGCTCCGTGGCACGTGTGGCTGTGGCTGTTGTGTTGGATGCCCAGCCCACCAAACTTTAGTAAGCTGGAAATTTCCATAGTTGACACACACACAGCTGCCTTTAGTAAGAGAGGTCCTTCTAGAGTGTGCAAGCCCTTCTCAAGGGCCGGGAAGAGGGGACAGTTTTAACGGGCAGACAGGCTGGGGAGATGGAGTGGCAGGATGGGTCCCAGGAGGTCATTCATGGAGCGGAGGCAGGAGGCGGGAAGAAGGGTTGCCAGAGTGACGGCTCCTGGGTGGAGGGCACAGAGGTAATGAGTGGCGGTTGGATGCAGCCAAGTCCGGGCTGGATGCAGCGTCAGGTGGCTGAGAGGCTTGTTTGCAAAGTTTAATCTTTCCCCTGGGTGGCAGTTTTGGACAAATCTCCTAGGAAGTCCAGGGGCATTTAGATCTTGGAAGTCTTAAGAACGGACTCTTTTTTCCCCCCATTTTTTATTTTTTTATTTTTTATTTATTTTTTTAAATATATTTTATTGATTTTGTACAGAGAGGAAGGGAGAGAGATAGAGAGTTAGAAACATCAATGAGAGAGAGTCATCGATCAGCTGCCTCTTGCACACCCCCTACTGGGGATATGCCCGAAACCAAGGTACATGCCCTTGACCGGAATCGAACCTGGGACCTTTCAGTCCCCAAGCCGACGCTCTATCCATTGAGCCAAACTGGTCCCGGCTTTCCCCCCATTTTTAAAAGTCACACGTACGGCCCTGGAGCTGTGTCTGCAGCCTGCCCCTCTGCGTGTGTGACAGGTACGGGTTTAACAGCCACGGGCTCTCGGCGGTGGAACACCGGCTCCGGGCCAGGCAGCCGACGCAGGCCCGGCTCACGGAAGGTAAGGCGGGCTGCCGGAGGGGGGCGTCCTGCGTGCGTTGGGAGGCAGCCTGTGGGAGAACCATCAGGAACAGCCCTGTGACGTAATGGAAAAGAACACCGCGGAGCGCAGGGCTCTTTGCTGGAGGAACTTTCCTGGTTTCCTGGTTCCACAGTTCCCAAGATTTTAGCAGAATTCCACAAGGTAGCAAAGTTACGTAAGCCATGTTGTGTCTTCACGGGCGGCTTGGGAGTGAGCAAAGCAGAGTGGCCCTGTGCGATCTGAGAGGCGGCTAAGCGGTGGGCAGGCTCCAGCACCGACCTCCTTGTCCTGCTCCGTTGTCCTGCGGCCCTGATAGCCGTGGTGCGTGTGATTTGTAAGCGCTGCGAACCACAGAGGAGCATGAGGAAGAAAGTTAGTTACTGACATTCTCCTCCACCGGGGAGAACGCCTCCCGGCCTGCGGGCGTCCCCGCTGTGCTGGCCACAGGATGAGTGGTGGTCGCAGTGCTGTTGTCCTCCCCACGCCTCCCCACACGCTCTGGGGCTGCGGCCTCTCCCCTCGTTGGGTCCCTCCAGGCCTCCTTCCGGGAGTTTAGTCTCATTAGAAATCTGGGTGGTGAGCGAGGTTGAAAGGGTCTGTGGTTTGGGGAGTGTGAAGTGCCCTTGTTTGGAAACCTGTGGCTTCGGCAGGTCCAGAGCCTGCCATGCTGCACACCTTGCTGTTTGGGGAAATTTGAAGGTCATCGTATGACTTCCCTGGTTTGTGATACTGGCCTGCCTTCTGGCCTCCCTTTCCTTTTGGCTGTCCACAGGGCTCTTTTCACCAGCTTTCTCCCGTTCCCCCTGGCCCACCCTCTCAGCTGTGCTCTGGCGCTGATATTCTCTGGACTGAAGCGAAGTCCCATTGCAGAGCTCTGCACGGGGAGTTCCCCAGCAGCTGGAAGCCGAGGACGGCTATTGCTGGGGCCGTGCCGAGGAACAGAGCCCACAAAGGCTGTGGGGCCCCTCGGGGGCAGAGTAATTCAGCGGCTTCTGTCAGCGTGGGCAGATGACTAGTAATGCAAGATCCGTTAGCTACGTGGAAGCTCAAGCCAGTTTCTTTGTGTGAAAAAGAATGCGAACTTTCAACTGCCCTTGGCTGGATGGAGGCCAGACTTGAAAGCTAGGACATCATGTTGTATAACCTTTGTCCAGTGGGTTCTAACCTTACCCCCGCCCCAACACACACAGAATTAGCCACACAAATCTCATTAACTTGGAAGCTGCTGATAAAAGGGTATGAGAAGGTACTCAGCAGGCCTCGATATTGTTCTTTGATCTTCCTTGACCTGACCCAAAGCCTGTTACTGAAATATGCTTTTTGGGAAGTCCAAAATGCAGGACATGTGATAATCCAGTGGATTTCTCAGTAAGGTGGCTGTATTACTGTTCAGATTGAGACACTTTTGAGAGAGAATTAATAATATGCCCAGACCACAGGACTGATCAAGGCCATCCTGGGAGCACTGGGCTGTGTGGTCACCCCAGTTGGAATGATAAAACAATGATGCGTGTACATGACAACTGAAAATAATACTTTCCAATATTTCATACTTAGTCTTTAATCCTGTGTTTTCTTCACAACTGCACACCCAATCATTCAACCCAAGTCCAGTGAGCAGCCCTTGAGAGTAAAAAAGAATTCCCCCCTCTGACATTCTTATTGATTTCTGTCTGTTCTCGGTTGTATTACATTCATGAGCCTTACCTTTTTATCACTAGTATTTGCATTCCGAATTTCCCCATTTTTCATTAATTTTTTAAAACAACAAGGGCATGCCCAGGCCAGTGTGACTCAGTGGTTAGAGAGCCTCAGCCTGCACTAAAGAGTCCCGAGTTTGATTCTCAGTCAAGGGCAAACCTGGGTTGCGTGTTTCAAGGGCATGTATGGGAAGCAACCAATCCATGTGTCTCCTCTCTCACATGGAAGTTTCTCGCTCCCTCTCTCTTTCTCTGCTTTCTCTCTCTCCCCCCCTCCCTCCTACTCTCTCTAAAAAGCAATGGAAAAAATATCCTCAGATGAGGGGGGGAAAAAAGAATAAGGGCACAATGCAGGAAAATGTCTTCGCGGTTACCCCAGCATTGCCACACAGACAAAGACGGTGAGCTGCTTCCTGGTCAGCAGGCAGCAGCACCGCCCGTGTATCGTAGCATTTGTCAGCCGGTGTTGGAAGTTCACCTTGCAGGTGGAGGGCCTATAAGGCTGTTCACGTCAAGGAAATGGTGTGTGGGGATTTGCAGGTGGGCTGCCCCTTGGAATAAACTTGGGGAAGAACAAGACCTCAGCGGATGCTGCCTCGGACTACGCAGAGGGGGTTCGAGTCCTGGGCCCCTTGGCTGACTACCTGGTGGTGAACGTGTCCAGTCCCAACACTGCAGGGCTGCGGAGCCTTCAGGGAAAGGACGAGCTGCGCCACCTGCTGACCAAGGTGGGAAATTACACCTGTAATGCTTTCTTACAAAGCCTGCTCCTCCAGCCTGTCCTGTTCCTTCTCCGGGGCCAAGGTTCAGCGGCACCATGGAAGGCTGTCCTTAACACTTCAACCAGTCAGGACCCCTCACCAGGCCTCTATCCCCACCCTAACACTGCTTACGCTCAGTAGTAATTAATTTCTAAGTTTTCTGTCCCGCATGCTCAACAGTAAAGGGACCACAACTTTCATTTACCACGCTGTCCCTGGCACCTAGGACGCTGAATGAACGAATGAGTTGAATGACTTTTCATCGCACAGACTTGCTATCTCTTTTAGGAAAAAAAGCCTAGATAAGCCCTACTATATTAGCCGATGCCCTTGACCACATTAGGGACTCGACCCTGGGGATTTCTTGGTTCAAGAGAATGGAATGAGTTTTGCGTGGGTGGGGAATATTGCGTAACTGAGGGCTGTGTTTCTGAGAAGGAGAAAGTAAAGCTCATGCTTTGGTTTGAGTGCTGATGTGAAAATGCACAGGGCAACCCCAGGTGTGGTCTCGGGGGGTCCCCATCTCTGGCCACGTGTCGCTGCAGGTGCTGCAGGAGAGGGATGCCCTGAAGGGGCCGCACAAACCGGCCCTGCTGGTGAAGATCGCGCCCGACCTCACGGCCCAGGACAAGGCGGACATCGCCGGTGTGGTGAGAGAGGTGAGGGGCCCTCACGGCTGGCAGTGACCGCTCGGCCTGCTGGCTCGCCCTAACGGCAGCCTCTGTGCTTTTCTCTCTGTGATCCTGAGGGCTGGTTTGGTATTGGTCACAACTTCATTCATAAAACAAGAAGCGAATGCTTGAATAAATGTTTGGATGAGTCTTTTTCTCGTGCCTCTTCCCTCCCGGTCCAGCGGGGGCTCTCAGGCCTGTGCTTGTGTCCTCGCCGGCCTCGGCCAGCGCAGAGGACAGGCACCCCTCGCCTTGTTGCACGTCACAGGCCCTCCTTCAGCAAAAGGATTGCAACTCGCTTTATTGTGAGATTAGCCTGACTGTGGGGGCGGAAGCCTGCCTGTGTCCTTCTCTCTCCAGCCTGACACCAGGTCTCTGTGTCGAAGGAAAAGAGTAGAAACAGACTGAGCCCCGCAGTCCTGGGTTCAAATCCTGGTTCCATCGCTTACTCCCTCGAGATTGGTAGACTAGTGATAAAAAAGGCCGGGCTCGCTGAAACCGGTGTGGCTCAGTGGATAGAGCGTCGGCTTGGGGACTGAAAGGTCCCAGGTTCGATTCCAGTCAAGGGCATGTACTTTGGTTGCGGGCACATCCCAGTCGGGGGTGTGCAGGAGGTAGCTGATCGATGTTTCTATCTCATCGATGTTTCTGACTCTATCCCTCTCTCTTCCTCTCTGTAAAAAATCAATAAGATATATTATAAAAAAAAAAAAAAAAAAAAGGTCGGGTTCATAAATGTGCTACAACCGAGAGCAGGCAGGAGCCCATGGGATGTCAGAGGGGCCGCTCCTTGGGTTGTTAGAAGGATCATAACCCTGTCCGAGGGGAGCTCTGTAGGCGGGCACTGCGAGACGGCAGCTGTCGTCATGTTCACCAGCGGAGTGAGGTCTGGGGTCGTTCTTGCCTCGGGGGCTGTGGGCGTGGGCACCTGGCTGCCTGCTGTCTCAGCCCCTGGGCAGCTTCTCCGAGTCTGGCAGCGTCCTGACGGGTAGCTCTCTCTGTCTCACTCCGCAGCTGGGCATCGATGGTTTGATTGTGACGAACACCACAGTGAGTCGCCCTGCCAGCCTCCAGGGTGCCCTGCGCTCCGAAACAGGAGGGCTGAGCGGGAAGCCCCTCCGGGACTTGTCCACGCGAACCATCCGGGAGATGTACGCGCTCACCCAAGGCAAGGATCCGGGTTTGTGTGTGGCTCGGGCTCCGGGGTGTGATCGGAAGGGCGCTGGCCGAAGCCGGCGGAGCCCCTGGTTCCCACGTGGTCACGGCGTCGCCCTGTGCTCCTCTGCAGGCAGCGTTCCCATCATCGGGGTCGGCGGAGTGAGCAGCGGGCAGGACGCACTGGACAAGATCCGGGCGGGGGCCTGCCTGGTGCAGCTGTACACGGCCCTCACCTACGGGGGGCCGCCGGTGGTGGGCAGAGTCAAGCGGGAGCTGGAGGCCCTTTTGAAGTGAGTGGGGCTTGAAACTGAGATTAACGTCCTATCGATTCAGAATGACTCAGATCCAGGGGGTCTTACGGATCCGTCTTTACTCTTCGTGCAGTAAGGGCCTGAGGGGCGGGTATACTCCGAAGACAGGCGAGAGTTACTCTGTGGCTCCTCTGATGAAGGACAAACGGTGTCGACGAATTCAAGCTTGACGCCCAAGGCCATGGTGTCTGTGGCCTGCGGAGGCCTGGTGGCACTCTCCTCGTCAGTTCAGCCACATTGGCATGATGTCAGGGAGCTGTCACACTTAACGCCGCCTGCCTTCTGATCCCGGGCCTGGTGTTCAGATCTGGACTCCTGGGTGAAGGCAGTGTAGGGGCACGAGGTGTGCATCTGGGATTGCGAGGGGAGGGGGGCGCAGTGACGGAGCAGGGAGAGCCCCGGGGAGTGTGGGCTTCTGGGAGAACGGGGCCTGCCCCTCATCATTGGCTGGACTTCTTCGTTTGCCCTTTTCCCAGGGAGCAGGGCTTTGACAGCGTCGCAGACGCCATCGGCGCAGACCATCGCAGGTGAGGACGTTGTGGTGGGAGGCCCGGTCCAGGCCCTTCTTCCCACTACGTCAGGCGAGCCTCTGAGGCTGGATCAAGAGAGGGAGGACTGTGTCTCAAGCCGCACTCGCAAACCACAGGAGCCCTTTCTGCGAGGCCAGGCGGACGGTCAGAGCGACTTGTGAGGGTCCCAGAACCAACACAAGGCCTTCTTCAGTCACCTGCCAGAATGAACTGCATCCGGGACCTTTGCCAGACTCAAGTCCCAGGAGCCTTTAATATTGCAAGGACATTAGTGTTTTTTTTTGGGGGGGGGGGGATCATGGAAAAAATAAAGCAGTCTAAAACCTGGATGGATCCCAGCTCTTTCTGGAAGGTCCACCAGCTGCAGGCACTGCAGGTCCTCCCGGGCCTCTGCTGTCTGGGTCTGCAGTGGGTTTCCCAGAGCTTGACGCTGACATCCTATGTTTGTTTTTTATTTATTTTTAAATTTTAACTCGATTTTGTGAACATCTCAAATTCAGACAAGAGCCGTTAAGAACAGGGCCTGTGGATAGCTGTCCTCTCCCCGTGTCTTCACAGCCTCCTCTCCGAGTGCGTGTCCTGATCACTGCTCACTGGGGCGCCGGTCGCTCTGGATTGGGACCCACGCCAGCGACCTCGTTCTAACCTGACTGCCTCTAGTGACCCTGTCTCCACACAAGGTCACACTCGGAGGTACCGGGGAGTTTGGATTTCAACACATCGATCCGGGAACACACGACGTCACCCATCACAGGAGGCGTGCTTGCTGTTTCCCTGCCTTCGAGTCACGTGTCATGTGACGTGGGTGCCATCCGGCACATAAGATATGAGACGAGAGACTGAAGAGGCAGAGTCGTTAACTAAATGCAAAGAGAAACGCTAATCTCTTCAGTACTGGGGATCGCCCGGGGAAGGGAAGTGCTGCTGGTGCCCGGCACACCTCAGCCAACTCAAGGTCACCTTTGTCCCCCCCGCCCCAGGACGGGCGGTGTTAAGTGTGATTCTCGGTAGCTCTGTGGAAAAGCCCGGAGTTGCAACAGCGATAACGGGTCCTGTTGCCTCATCTTCTCATCTCGGCCTCAGCCTGGGCCGCCTCCCATTCACTCTTTGCCAAGAAACTGGCAGCCAGTCTCCTGCTGTTTTTCTTCCAAAGTTTTTTTCCCCCCTGGTTTTTATTTTATTATGAAAATACCTTCTCATTAATAAATTTAAACCATACAGCCCTCAAATAAAGGTTGTCTGCCTCTTCACCCCCCTCCTCCCCATACGATTCACTCCCCAGAGATAACTGCTGTATCTCTAGATATTTCTAAACATTTTTCTTTGTACCTATGAACATCCATATCCATGACTACCTTTTGAACCTATCTGCATGCACAAATATAGAAATGTTTCAAGAAGAACTGGGCAAAGAACTGTATTTTATTGCTAAGTCACACGAGAGCGAGCTGCTGACCTGATGCCCCACCACCCTGAACGTGTCTGTGTGGATGCCTCGCAGACAAGGACCTTCTGCTGCACAGCCGCAATGCAGCTGTCAAAGTCAGGATATGGCTCAGATACAGTGCGTCCACCTAATGCCAGGCCCTGTGGGAGCAGAACTTCTAAACCGCCTGCTGTGCCCAGGTGCCCTGCCCTAACCCCAGGGGCCTGCACTCCCAGGCTGTGCTGCTAAATGGTGCAAGACAGGAACCCTCTTGAAGATAAGAGATTGTTCGTGTGGGTCTAATCTAATAGCGTTCTGAAAGAAGACAGAGAGAGAATGCGAGAGAATGCAAGTGTTGCTACTTGGAAGACGGGGTGGGGGTGTCGCCAAGGGTGTGACTTGGATAGCTAGCTCGGTGTCCATTTTGGTGCGAAAATCATGTGCAGAACATGGGGCTCACCTGGCTCTGCTCTTGGTGGCAAATGGGGTCCCTGCTCTCCAGCTCCAGGGGGCTTGCCACCCTGGAGGGCCAGCCAGCATCTCATTTGATCAGAGAGGGCAGAAACCAGCATGTTTTCTGTGGCGGTATAACTCCCTCCTCTGAGTCGAACACACCAGCAGGAGGAAGGTGGTGGTGGAGGGATAGAAGGAGGGTGACTATATCTCAGCCAGCCCCACCTCTTTGTGTCTCCCCACCTCCTCCCCAAGCAGGAGGGCCCCAGGGATGACTCACTGTGGGTGGGAGGAGACTTGGAGTCTTCTTAGGAGACATCAATCCCCTCTGACACCCCATTTTCTCTCCTAGAACAGTGGTTTGGAGGGGTAAGATATATCTAAACAGTAACTTTTACAAAGATGCATACAATGCACAGGTGTACTTAATAGCAATGGCAATCATGTAAATTGTGCATGCCTCAGTTTCCTAATGTGTATAATGGGGAGAAGCACAGTACCCATGGGTTGTTAGGAGATTATATACGTATGAAGCGCCATAGTGCTTAGTACATCCTACCCTCGTAATAAATGTTACTTTAATATCTCTCATCCCCACAAAAGTCCTGCAAGTGGCCAAAACCGGTTTGGCTCAGTGGATAGAGCTTCAGTCTGCGGACTGAAGGGTCCCAGGTTTGATTCCGGTCAAGGGCATGTACCTTGGTTGTGGGCACATCCCCAGTAGGGGGTGTGCAGGAGGCAGCTGATAGATGATTCTCTCTCATCAATGTTTCTAGCTCTCTATCCCTCTCTTCCTCTCTGTAAAAAAAAAAAAAAAAAAAAAAAGAAAAAAAAAAGTCCTGCAAGTAGGTATTATCACACGTCTATTTACAGATAAAACCGGAGCTTTGAGGAATTAAACAGCTTCTCCAAAGCAGGCAGCTCGGAATCGGCAGGCCCTGGGGTATCTCCTCAGGCAGGGAAGGGCCGCACAGGGCCTCCGGAAAGATTGCTAGCTCCTTTCCCTACAGAGAAACTTCGTCCCGGGTGCCATTACTTTTTAAAATAGCTTTCATGGAAACTTGTTCTGGGCACTTGAGTGATCTGATAGGAGGTGGCCTAGCAGGGCCTAGCGGTCAAATCTCTGAGCTTCCCACCAGCGGGATCACCCTGTGGGAACCACAGTGCCCACCAGGGCTAAGCCAGAGGCAACGTGAAACCATCACTGTCTCACAGCATGCCCCTGGGTCAGGGATTCAGGAGGAACGTAATTGGGTGGTTCTGGCTCAGGGTCTCTAACAGGTGGTCACCAACGCACTGGCTGGGGCTGCAGTCCTCTAGGGCTGACCGGGGCTGAAGGCTCCACTGCCTCCTGCATGCCTCCTATTGGGGATCAAGCCCCCAAACTGGGCATGTGCCCTAACTGGGAATTGAACTGTGACCTCCTAGTTCATGGGTCAACATTCAACCACTGAGCCACGCTGGCCGGGCCCAGCTCTTTTATCTGAGGAAATAAAATCTAATGTGCTTCAGCCACTGCTAATTGGGGCTTTCTCTCATATGTAGCCAAATTTAAGTCTAGCTAATAAAAAAAACAACAGCCAACTTGACCTATCTCGTATGTACCTGTAGGATACGCTATTCTGTTTCTCAGGATGTCCCTTTCCTCCAGGTGAGGTTTCTGGCAGCACACCTTGACAATGTCCTCAGGCAATCGTGTTACCTGCCCTGCAGGGCTGAATGGACCTTGGCAGTCAGGGGACATTTCTGTAAGAACCTTGTGGTTATAAATACGGGAAATCAAGTGGATGTGACCTGTCACAGGTACGAGGACACCAGGGGCCGGGGCTGAGAGGTGTGCGTCGGGGAGCAGGAGGGGTGACTTGGGGTTGGCACACGGCAGGTTTGGGCAATACCTGGGCAGCAATACAGGGGGCAAAGGTCCTAAGGGCAGGGCTTTTAGGAGAGGAAACGCAGTAAACATGCAAGCTCCTTGCGTTCTTGCCAGCCAAGAGGAGGTTTCCTGCGTGTTGAAAACTCCATTTGAAAGCGGTCCCACAGGAAACAAAAGCAGTTGCAGCAGGCGAAGTGGAGGCAACCTGGCTGCACCCGCCCCCACCATGCCTGTCAATCACCGGGGCTGCCTTGGTGGGCCCAGGAAGGAAGCTGGGCCTGGAGGGTCAGAGCATGTCCTGGGTCAGCACCCACCTTGGCCTGGCCGAGCATGTGGAGGACATACATGCAGTCTTGATGCTACCATTTCAGCCCTCGGGAATCTGAGAAGCTGGTCAGTGTTTTGAGCTTCAACTATTCTCTTGGATGCTGAATTTTGAGTCCTTAATAGATCTAGACATCTTAATAGACATCTTCCTACCTCAACAGACCAAAAAGTGTGGGTCTCAAATCTGGGGACCTAAAAGAAATCACTATGGTTGGGTCAGAATTTCAAATGATGTTACCATTAAAAAACAAAAGTACACACACACACACACACACACACACACACAGATATGAGAGAGAATAGCACTGACCTAAATGCATTTGTTCTTTTCACTCATTCATTCTTCCAACAATCACTTGTTGAGATCTGACTTCCTCCCACTGGCTGTGCTATGCGGGGAGATGCAGATAACTTTTTCACCCTCTCTCTGAGCCTCACAAGAGACAAATACACCTCCGGGGTGGCTCAGTGGTTGAGCGTTGACCTATGAAGCAGGAGGTCACGGTTTGACTCCTGGTCAGGGCACATGCCAAGGTTGTGGGCTTGATCCCTAGTAGGGGGCATGCAGGAGGCAGCCGATCAATGATTCTCTCTCATCATTGATATTTCTATTTCTTTCTTCCTCTCTGAAATCAACAAAAACACATATTAAGAGAGAGAGAGAGAGAGAGAGAGAGAGAGAGAGAGAGAGAGAGAGAGAGAGAGAGAGAGAGAGAGAGAGAGACAGGGAAACACCATTGGCAAGAATCTATTGGGTCACAACCTACAACAGTGGATGGAAGCTGGTGCTTCCTTAGCAGAGAGGGGAGTCACTGGGGGCTCAGCCAGGTACAGCTGCACTGGATTTCCTGTGTGGCCAGGACTGATGTCATACTGTTTCCTGGGACCACAATTACACAAAGCCCTGATAGCTCAAAAGCAG